CATTAAGATAAGAACAAATTAATAAAGCAGTGGATAAGTGAATCACTGACACAAAAAATCAACGAATCAGTAATTCTTCGACCCGCTGACTCGATTATTTATTAAATAGTTGTTTCAGTGATTTATTAATTCGAAAACAGACTGATTCGTTCATTGTACAATAACGATTCCATATTTCGTTTCAGCGTTGACCTGATAGTCAGCTTTTAAATTTATTTGATCTATGATTTAGACGTTTAATTCAGCGAATTATTAACACTGATACATTGATTCGCTTATTTAACCATTACCCTAGCAATTTATTCATTGATTCGTGGATTTTCTGATTCGCTGATTCAACCATTAGCTCATTTGTTGCTTTGTTGAATTATTCATCGGTTCTCTCGTTTTATTCACTATTCAGTGATAAATTTTATGAGTAATTCGGTAACTTACTGTTTTGGGCAAGGTAACTGGAAGACTAAATAATTTATCCAGATAAAAAAATAAAAAAAACATTGCGCTGAACTGTTTTTGTACTTAAACGGCACTTCTTTTGCGAGAATCTCAAAATTATGTGTCACAAAGTTCAAGATACATTTGAAATAAAATGCAAATTGNGTACACAACCGACCTGGGAAATCTTAACGTTTTGTAAACTATCAGTACAAGACTAATCGGGGAGATCTCGTTTTGCAGTAATTAATTGTAGCGTTTAAAAAAAATTCGCAGTGGCTGGATAATACTCAGGAGTAATTCATTCGGTTCACAAAGTGTTAAGCGTACTTTATTCAAAGGGATCGACCTTGCATTTTCAGGTTGTATTTTGCAGAAACAAAATATCCACGTTCATCAAAGTACTCCACCCTACAATAATGGAAAAGACATTGAGTTTTTTACATTTTTGTTAAATTTCTCAAGAAATACTTAAAGAATTATTATGTAACTTAGAGATGTTTTGTTCATGCGATTTTTCATATTTAGCAATAAGATATAAAGCTTTCAGAGGTTTATCGACTATAAATTACGAAAGAAAGCAAGTATTTTTGAACACCCTATGCCACAAAATCAAGCAATAAGATAACTGTAACTTGCAGTGGTGACTTTAGTTGCTGTTTTTGATAACGAAATTTTATGCGGTTATTAAAAACAACAGCTCAAGTCATCAATACAAGTTGCAAACTTATTGCTTGTGGCACAGGGTGTTCAAAAATACTTGTATTCGTTCGAACTTGTTGTCGGTCTCTCAAACCTCTGAAACTTTATTGCTAAGTATGAAAAATCGCATGAACATCTCTAAAGTTATAAAATAACCCTTTAAATATTTCTTGAGAAATTTAGAAAAAGGTCAAAAACACAATGTCTCTTCCATTTTTGTAGGGTAGTGTGCTTTGATGAAAGTGGGATATTTTGTTTCTGCAAAATACAATCTGAAAATGCAAGGTCTATCTCTTTAAATAAAGAACACTTAACACTTTGTGAACAGAATGTAATACGCCTGAGTATTATCTAGCCACTGTGCATTTGCACTGTGCACTGAGCAGTTTTTTAACAACTACAACTAACTGTTGCAAAACGAGATCTCTCCATTCAGTCGTGTACTGATGATAGTTTACGAAACATTGAGATCTCCCCGATCGGCTGTGTACTGAAAATTTTGTACAACATGGTCTGTCATCTACCTCATACAAAATATGCACGAAATAAGATTTCAGCATTCATTAAGATAAGAAAAAATTAATAAAGCAGTGGATAAGTGAATCACTGACACAACAAATCAACGAATCAGTAATTCTTCGACCCGCTGACTCGATTATTTATTAAATAGTTTCAGTAATTTATTAATTCGAAAACAGACTGATTCATTCATTGTACAATAACGATTCCATATTTCATTTCAGCGTTGGCCTGCTAGCCAGTTTTTAAATTTATTCGATCTATGATTTAGACGTTTAATTCAGCGAATTATTAACACTGATACATTGATTCGCTTATTTAACCATTACCCCAGTAATTTATTCATTGATTCGTGGATTTTCTGATTCGCTGATTCAACCATTAGCTCATTTGTTGCTTTGTTGAATTATTCATCGGTTCTCTCGTTTTATTCACTATTCAGTGATAAATTTTATGAGTAATTCGGTAACTTACTGTTTTGGGCAAGGTAACTGGAAGACTAAATAATTTATCCAGATAAAAAAATTAAAAAAAAACATTGCGCTGAACTGTTTTTGTACTTAAACGGCACTTCTTTTGCGAGAATCTTAAAATTATGTGTCACAAAGTTCAAGATACATTTGAAATAAAATGCAAATTGCATGAATTTTTAAATAAAATTATGTACCTTTAGGAGTTACCTTTGTATTTATATATAAGACCTATTTTATCCTATCCTATAACTTAGGATATTTTTATCTTTTGGATATGTTTCAGTTATATATTTTAGTTTCTTTTTTTTTTATTTCATGTTTCAGTTTTTTGCAAGATTTAAAAAGTCTTTTTGAATTTCAATTTTTCTAGATTTAGATCAGTAAGAATTTTTTTCAAACTCTATTTTTAAGAAACTATGTTTTTAAAATTGTTAGTTTTTTTTTTTTTAATAATTATTTTTAAAAAGAATTTTACAAAAATGATTAATTTTTTCTTATTCCAAGAAATTTCCTTAACTTATTAATTTTTTTAAAAAATTTAATCATTTTTAAAAATCCAATACTGAAAATAAAAATAATTGTTTTCTCCACTTTCTCACCACTATTAACTATTTTTCACCACTATTAACTCCACTTTCCACAACATTTTATAAGAACTAAAAAGAAGAGGAAAGTTGTTAAGTCTAAATTTTTATATATATTTGCTTTACTGAATAAGACTTTCTGACATAAAAAATAATGCATGCAAATACATGAATAATTCATTTTTTTAATAACTAAGTAAAGCAATGTAATATACCTCCTAACTTTTATGATTTTTAAGATTGATATTTTAGTCATGCCAAATTTGTACTTTAATGTATTACTTTGTAGTATTTGATTTAAAATTCAATTTAAATCCATAAAAAAACATATTCAAGAATCCTGGAAATTAGGTTTTACATGCATAATAGCCTTAAGAATTTTTTTTTTTTTAAATATTACCAAAAAGGTTAACTGTGTTTTTAAAACTTTTTTCACAAAGAAAAACAAAAAAGTCACAGTTTAAGAGCCTAACACTTGAAGCAAAGCTATAATTTTAAACTATGTATGTCATCTTGCCATGAAAAATCATTTGACTGGGCTTTAGACTGGAAAAATAACATAAATATTTTACAAGTTATATTATTAAACTTTTTAAAAAATTACCAATCTGGCGACATTTTGCCAAGATGAAAATTATCAAAATCAATACCTCATTTTCATTGCTTGCAAATTTTTATGAGCCCAGATAATGCAGCATTGGAGAAATTTTTTAAATATTAAAAAATTGGACCACAAATAATCTCCATTTTCTCAAAACTGTGGCATTTCTCCGTAGTGAAGTTTTACACCATTTTTAAAATAAAATTGGCTAAAATAGACTAAATTTGATATAACAGTGATGAGAACTATCTTTTAAAAACAGACAGCAGTTATGAAGATAGCATATTATTCCTGAAAAAGCATCATTTTATGTGATTACGTGACATTATGTAACATCATTTTATGTCTTCAACAAAAAATTCTTAATGCTTTTACACTGCTTTGCAACCTAGAATTAGGAAACTTTTTTCGGAAAAATCGTAAAACTTGGCAGCTATGGTATTGCTGTATTTCTCTCTGGTTACAGGTCTTTACATTTTGTACTATGGCAACATAGTAATCTTTTTTATATATATAATCTTCGTTGAACGGCAGACACAATTCTTTGGATTTACGACTACTATTGTTCAACTTCATAGCCTGGCAACTTTGAACCCAATCCAGAAAACAAGGGAACAGCTGGATCTAGAATTGGGAGAAATTTGCCTCTATGGAGGACTTTTTGATCTAACTAACCCGCATTTGCATTACATGAAGAGGAAGACCACGAGAACCTCCTGAAGGTTAGCAAGACAGCAAAGGGACACTAACCCATGATTCGTCTAACACTGAGGATATTTCACGCCAGCACTCTGGTTGGTAACATAGTAATCTTGTTTAGATTATTTAATTAATTCTTTTTTATTATTTGCCTTAATAACTATATTATTTGAATAATATGTTCACACGCAATTGTTTGGAAAAGGAAAAACAGATCAAACAGTATGAATGCAAAAGAATACTAACTAATTTAGGTTAATTACTTCCGAAGTATGAATTGGAATGAAAGTTGGCAAACTTGTTTCATGCATGCTAACAATCGATTGGTGACAATTGTCAGACAGTCTTGCCTAACAAACGATTACTTACAAGGCAAGCACTAATTTGACAAAGCTAATGGAAAGTTGATTAAAATTTGAATTGAAATAATTTCACTTTCAAAAAATTGTTTTTGCAAAAACATAGTTGCCAACATAGATAGGAAAATATCCAGTAGATTTTACGCAATATAAATTTCATGATAATTGTTGCATAATATTTTACACATAGAGAATTTCAGGGATTTTTATAGTCATCAAAAAATAAAAACTTTCTTCTAGTCATGATTGGCATTAAATATGCTTGAAATGTTGCGTATTATGTTTACTCATAATTTTAAATAGTAATTATAATTTAAATACTATTTAAAATATAAGTACTCATAATTTAAATAGTAATAGGATTTTCTTAGGGAATTTTCTAAAATGGAGAAAAACCATGAGAATTTTTACTAAACTATGCAAAGCTAAAGTTGGCAGCTATGCAAAAACATTTCACTTGATTATATTGACCACAAATCGTGCTCTATTGAATGTTAGATAATAAATATTAAAAATATATATGTGGATCTTACAAAATTGCTCTTAACTTATTTTTTTGTAAAAGTTGACTTATTCCACCTTCAAAAATAACGACTCAAACATAAACCATTAAAACTAAACACAAATGTACGTGTAAGCTTATTTAATATTTTTTAGTTAAACAAATTCAGACAAGTAACAGAAAGTTTAGTACAAAGAACAAAACAATTGTAACAGCATAAGTTTTTAGTATGTGATGATGTGAATGAAAAAGCAATACAAAATAGTTTGATAAAGCAGTTCATTTGATCATTAGAATGGTCGCCCACGTCCTCGTCCGGGGATGCCGGGAGGCGTGACATTTGACTTGGGATTCTTGATTGTCTCATCCAAAGAGACAATCAGGCAGGCAGCTTCTGTGGCAGCTGTAAGAGCGTTTACTTTTACAACAGCAGGTTCCCAGACACAAGCTTCAAAATTATCAGCAATATCTTCATTGTTAATGTCCACACCATACCAAATACCACCTATAAGTTAAAGTAAAAGAAAATAGTTAAAATCCCACACATAATTAAATAGTTTTTCTAAAGAAAAATTGTTGATAAACTATTCAAAATACGAATTAGCTCCTTACTAAATTGCTGTTTTAGTGGTTTATTTAACATAAAAAAATATTGCATCATATTTTGAGATCATGTCATTTCTTTTTGTGCTGTGGTCACTAGGCAATAAAATGCTCCTTTCACCATGTAGGGTGCGTAGCCAAGAAAAAATAAGCACCTTTAAAGTACTTTTTAAGCATTCAAAAAATATTTTTCAGCACTATATACATTAACAAAATGCAAAATAATTTTCAGAGATAAAATTCATGATAAAGTAACTAGTTTTTGACAAAGAACTCTTTTCTTGATTATATAAGACACCATAAAAAAAACTAGAGATTTTTTGGTTCAATTTCATGCAGCGGAAAATAAAGCCTGAAATTCAGAATATCTTGTAAAATGTAGTTGCACATGAGAGTGTGTTAATCTCACCGACCCCACCTCAGTAAACACACAAGCATTTTATCAAACATGTCACATGATTGGCGCATTTGTATGTTACGGACAGACAATACGCCGGAATGGATGTTGGTTGAATGAATTGTGAAAATGTTGAATAGAACACCACGCTTTTGTATAATACGCAGCGAAAATCAACAGGGTAAAGAAAAAAGTCTCACTTTCTAATATTAAGCTCTTTTTAAAAACACCCCATGAAAAAAGCACCTTTAAGTACTTTATAAAAACGCTACGCACCTTGCCATGTAAATAAAACAATTGCATATTTTATTGATAGAGACACATCATTGCATTTAAGATATAAATTTCGTTATTATTTAAGCTTAATTTACATATTATGGTGTATTTCTTAATAGGGTGACCACTCTAGAACTAGGAAAGCACAACCTTTTTGAATGAAGGGCTACATGCACAGCAGATAGACCAATGACAGGCTATAAACCCAAGTATTTAGATAAGACATGTTGACAGCAATTGCTTTGAACATCACTGTTCTTAGTACTAAATTCTTTTCATTAGTAAACTTAGAAATGTGTTTGTATAAAATCAAATACTTTCGAATGATTAAAATTAAAGACTGCAAAACTGATTGTTTAAAACATTTACATATCAGAAAAAAAAATTTGGACAAATTGAAATGAAACAATGGGAAAAGTCAAGTTTTTTTTTAGCACATAACATTACGTATATTTTAACATAAATTCTAACATTAAAAAAGTTTGATGTTCTTAGAATTAAATTTTTAAAAAAAATTAAGTTGCTTAATGTTTAATTGCTAAATGCTGTTTTTATAGTAAGTGCAAACAACAAACTTCGAGGGAATATTTACTGATTATATTTAATTGTACATATTCAATTATATATATTTAATTATATATATTTAATTATTGAAATATTATGAAGAGAAATTTGCTAGTATTTTCGAAAAATACTAGCAAATAAAGAAAAAGAGCAAAACATACAAATGCAATAATTGTGTGTAATCATTATACAGCAAATACCCCAAAAAATTTCAGAGTTGATTGCAAATTTCCCTGGGAATTCTGGTATTCTAAGTATACATACTATATTTAAGATTCAACAAACTAAATAGTTTGCCAGATTAAAAATCTAGAAGATATTACAAAATGATAAATGAAAATGTTTAATGCAGACAATTGCAGAATAAATAAAATATTGTTATAATAGAAGAGTTAAGTGATTGCAAAACCAATTTGGAACAAGTATAATACACTACTATGAGCTAAAATTCACAGATTATTTGCCATTTGCACGATGCCAATAACTGTACTCAAACATAAACTTTTCATAACTACACCAATGCAAATAGGTTTGAGGGTAATAATTATACTTTCTTTCACAGAATCAACTATTATTTGAGCAACTTTTAGGGGGAGAAGGGGAGCCTTTCAATTCTTTCTCTAACATGGAGTACTTTCATGGCCTCAAAAGAGATAATTGTCACCCACAATGGAAGTAGACTATTACAATACTTGGCTCACTTTGAAGACATTGTGTATTTCGTTATACATTGTGTTTCATGGCAAAAAACTAAATTTATATTCTTTTCTACACTTTAAATTTCTTAGTATTATAGTATATACTTTTTTTTTCCAACTTCAAGAAAAATGTTGAAAACTATAAAAATTTTGGAATATTTATTAAAAATTAAGAATATTGAAGAACACTTATTTATTATTCTTTTTTCAGGAATTTCAGAACAACTTCGAGCTTGATAATATTTACAAATTTTGGATTAGTTCAATCGAAATTCTGCAATGAATTTTAAGACTAAAAAGAGGCAGAAAAACTGTATTTTAATAAATAAATAAAAATAAAGATGCTAGTTTCAAAATATGGGTTGAAATATAAAAAATATTTTTAACATTTGAAAATATTCATTCAGGTTTTTAATATTTTATACAAAAATTTTATTAAATACAAAATGAAATTTAAATTATACTATAATCATGCACAGAATAGACTTTTTTAAATGTTTTTCAATTTTCTAATGTTTATACATTACCTCAAAGTATTTATTGGCAGGGAAGTAAGTTCACCTTTTGTCGAAAATGCGGTATACATAACAATACAAAATCTCCAACATTTTTGTTAATATATTTACAATCCCTGAGTGGCAACTATGTAGTTATACTTTAAATAAAACATAAAAAATAATTTTCTAATTTATAAACAAAAAATTTATTGTTTTTTTTTTCTCATTAAAAAATACTCACCAGTGGCATGTTTCTGCCTAAGCATATTCAAAATATTTGTGGAATCAAAGCCAGCATTATCACACAGTTGTCTAGGAATAACTTCCAAGGCTTTTGCCATGGCCCCAATAATAAGTTGTTCTTTTCCTTTAACAGTTCTTGAATAATCACGCAAGAATTTAGACAGTTCCATTTCAATAGCTCCACCTCCTGTAAATTACATGTGGTTTTAGTGTTAGTTTCCCTTCATTAATCATTAATCAGAATTTATAAATATTCTTTTCACTACAAGGTTTTGAAAAAAATCAAGGCAAAAAAGGCATACAAGAACATCAAAGAAACACAGGATTACACAGAGTTGCCTGCAGGAATTTCAAATATGTAGCAGTGAATTAAAAACAAAAAATCAACAATTTACACAATTCAGTTCATACTGTATTTTCACACAATACACAGCTACTACAGAAGATGCTCATCATTTCACTAGACTCTTGAAAATTGGTGCATTATATTGGTGCAACATAGAATGGTACACATTCTTAAACATACGAACTGAAACTCGAACACAACTTAATGGAAAAAGCTTGGAGCATCTTGCATTACAGTAATGGTTATAAATGCGCAACACGTAAGGAAATACAGTATAAATAAAACACTAAGTCTAAGTATTTATTTCTGATCATTATCTTTGTATATTACACAGGGTTGGGTTTTTGACGTCAAAAAGTGGTTTTTGACATGACAAGGGTATAATACTGGTTTAAACCGTCAAAAACCCGTCAAAAATGTCAAAAACTGAAGTTTGCCAAGAAAATATATAAACTTCAAAACTACCAACAGTTGCCATGCATTATATTGAAATTTAATTATACTATAGGTAATCAGCAGGTTTTAAAATATTTTTTAATTAAAATTAAGGTAAAATAACAGATTTAAAATCTCAGAAATTTATATTCAAATGCATGTGCAGAAAAATTTTGCACAAAAATTGTTTAAATATTTATATTTAAAAAATTTTTTTTTCTTTTTGATACTTAAGAAAATTAAAAGTTTATTACTATGCATTTTTGACATATAAGGAACATATAACTAATATTTATAAGGAACTTACAAGTTATGTTGTATAAATACAAACTTGATACAAGTGTATAAAAAAAATTTTTTAATGTTATACCGAATATCTTTATTATCCAGTATGTTAATTTGAATTTAAAAGTAGTTATATTTGTGAATAATGATAAATATAATTCATATTGTTTATTATATTTATTTATAATTATTACACTTATCATTTTAAAACAATTTTTACCTCTTAATTTTTTCCCCCACTTGTATTAAGAATACAAATAATGCATATCTTGAAAGCAAGAAGTAATTATTCAACAGCTGAATATTTAGATATTCAACAAAACTATGTATATAGTATTCAGCAAAATGAAATTCACAAGTATTTGGATAAACTAAATTTTCAGCATAGTAAATGAATAGGCTGAATATACTGTAAATCGACACTAACTACTCTGTGTATTTAACAGAAAGCACTTAAATTTGTATTGTCTTATGTTAAAAAGATTATTAAGAAGATTTAAAAGAATATTAAAAAGATTTTTCTTTAAAAGATGTCTAATGTACAAAACTGCTAATGTTTATCTTTAAAAATGTCTAATTTTTAGTATAATCTATACTATACACTAAATTTGGTTATAAATAAATTTCTTAATAATATCACTGCAGATTTTCAATAACACATGAAAATGAATACATAATATTACAAAAGATGTGAGCTTTCAAAAGTACAAGATTTTGGTTACTATTCAAAATATAAGTGTTTCTTCAAAATTTTAAATTTATTTTTTCTAGAACATATTTAGAAACACTATCCTTTATAAAAAATATATAAATTTTATGTATTAATTAAATTTCACATATGAATATAGGTTTTTGACATTTTCGACATTTTTGACAGTGAGGTTTTTGACGTGACGGTTTAAACCATGGTTTAAACTGTCAAAAACTGTCACATGTCAAAAACCTGCCAACCCTGATATTACATATAATTTGCAATACCTTCTACACTCGAAAAAAAGTACTTGTCACAGTTAACTTACAAACACATAGTCCCATTTTTTTCCTTCATATAAAAGATACTTAGCTTATGTACCTCATGAATATAGAAGACAATGAAATCAAATGTAAAAAAAAAAGTTATAATCCATTGAAATATACAAAAATAATTTATAGTTTGTCTAAAGTAAGAACTCCCCTAGCCATTTGTCTGGACCAGTGGCAGTGATTATGGTAAAGAGGTATAACTATTTCAAGTAGGAATGTGGGGTCATTATTTAGGATCGTTTTGGCTCGGGTCAAAGCGAGAAAGGGAATATTTTTCTTCGGTTTACTATGTTAGCCCTAGAGTGAAGAGAAGCTACTCTTCCTGAAATATACTATTCTTGTTTATAGAAGCAGCAGATGAAACGAGAATTTGTGGCGGGGAGAGTTTTTACCGTAGACTAACTAAATGTACTGTGCTTTTGTACTTTTAACCTAGTGACACTCCCTTTCAAAGATACACAAGGCAAAATGTGTGTGCACATAGTGTTTTTGGTGCATGCACATCATTTTCACACGTCCTATTTTTTTCAAAATTAACTTCAAACAGCCATTCTGTCTGGTACTTTTTATTGAAAAATGGATCCAAACGTAAGACACACATTTACTGAAGATATTTTGTGACTGCTTATGGTGAATATGAATTATGCTCAAAACATTAAAAGGAAAGTTGGGACTTTTGAAATCATCACAATGTGGTTTATGTCAATAATGTTGATATTAAGGTTTATGTTACGTAAATTTCATCGTTATTATACGATGTTTTGTCATATAAAATAATGCTTTTTGAAGAAAAATAAGTCATCTTAAAACTGCTGTGAGTTTGTTGTTAGGTTATAACTGTTGATAACTGTTAGGTTAGTTCCGATTAGGTTAGTACTACATTGATTATGAAAATGGTGTATGATACCAAGACACAATAGTACCAGAAACGTGAAAAGACAATATCACTTAAAAATATGTTAATTAGAAGGTACGCAGATAAAAAAGTTAAAGAAATATTTTTAATGTACCTTTAAACTATACGAGTCCATACGCGGAACACGAATGCAGAGTAAGAGTCAAATTGTACTTTTATATTTTAAAGGTTCAGTGTGTCTTTTAAATCAGAAGTTGCTAATAAAAATAAATATAAATAATAGTACTTCTGAAATTAGAAGAACTTTTTTGGAGTGTAGTTCTTGATAGCGTCTGAAACCCTTTTTTTTCTGTATGCTTGTTTTCCTTTTTTATTTTGGGCATGTCTTTAAGTACTCTGCAGATGCTACTATGCAGTTATTTGTTTACTTAGTCACTAATCTTTTCCAGTAGTAGTTAAAGTTATTTCCTTTTGCATTTTTCACAGTGATATTAAAATGCAAATTACAATATTTTTATTGAGAGTTAAATTTTTTTTCTCCAAACAATGAAAAAAAAAAGTCAAACATTTTCAAACAAAAATCACTTAATAAGAAAAATGGAACTAACCAGCTACAACACTATCATTTTTCATAGCTCTTCTTACAATCATGATTGCGTCATGCAAAGATCGTTCACTCTCTTCAATGAATTGTTCAGCTCCACCTCTAAGTATTAACGTTACAGTTTTACTGCTTGGACACCCAGTAAATAAATTAAACCTGAAAAAATATAGACATAAGAACAATTTAGAGACACATAATAATCAAAATGCAAGACTTGGGTATATATTTTTACAAAAAAATTAAAATACATTTTAAAAATAATAGTTTGACATAACAATTTTGTGTGCAGCAAATTGATTAACTAAGACCATTTTGTTTAAAACCTTGAGTGACACGTCAATCATTGGTAACTGACACTGAATTTTCTGTCTAGGTCGTGTCAGCCATGATATGATATAACATAGCTGCCAATCTTAGGAATCAAAAATTAGGAACACTATATGCGGCAAAACTATATGCACCAATTACGAGAGTAAGACAAAAATTTAACTATTAAATAATAACATTAATAGACATAATATATTTAAATACTTTATGTAAATAAGTAAAAAAAAATTATGAACACTATCTTTTGTGGGAAATTTATAACATTATTTTATAATTAGGAGCAGGGTATAATAGTTTTAAAAAAAAAAAAACACTACCTATTGATATATAATTATTCTTCTCCAAATTATAAAACACAGGTAAATATTAAACTACATCATAAACAAATATTTCTGATGCAAATGTTTAAATACTACAATACATTTTTTAAAAAAATAATAATAGTTGTTTAAGATTCAATTTAGTGAAATGATCAGCAACAGCTATTGGAATAGTATTTTCCAATAAAAAGCTACTAAAAATTACTTCTGCACAATACTCTCAGGAAGCGCGAGTGCGGCGATCAGAACAAGGGATTGGCTTAAAAGCAAAAATACTGCAATTTTACGAAAATTCGGATTTTTTGTAAAAATATCAGATTTTCAGATTTGATTTAAAAATTAGGAACAAATCCGAAAAATTCTGGACAGTTGGCAACTATGATATAATACTTCAAAAATTTTCATTGTTTTGACTAATTACTAATTTTTTTAATTGACTTAACTTTCATTTATTACAAAGCAAACTTTTATTTATTTCAATCTGATCAATCTATACCATAATACTAGCGTTAAGCAGTGTATTCGGCTTAACAGAAATTTCCTTAAAGATATATATGGAGTAGAATGCATAAAAGACTTGATTCACTGGCTGAAATCAAATTTACATCATAATTAAAAGGAACTTTTCAAAATTTTTAATAAGAAAATAAATATGCCTAATCACTAACATATCAACACGTCACAAAATAAAGCATTTGAAAAAAATTTGATCAAAAAGATTAAAGACATAAAATTTTAACTAAATGTGATCATACTGCTAACTAGAGATCTGCCCAAAAATTGAAAAAGGGTTCTTTTTCAAAAACAAGGGCACTTTCAGTTTTGAAGGGCACTAATCTCGCTAAATACATTTAATTATAGCTAGCTAGATTAATGCAAGATTTAGATTATCATTAGTAAGATTAGACTAGATCATAACAAGATTATGAAGAAGAAAAAAAACTATTTGGGAAGATTCTTCAACCAACATTAATATCATTTTTCATTTCAATTTCAGCATAATTCCATGCGCTCCAACAATACACTGGCTGGTGTAACTTATCAACAATTAAAAAATTAAATCACAATTTCCTTAAAACTGAGGATTACCTTCATATTGACACATTTTATACAAATTGAATAATTAACATCCACTAGCTTAAGATAGACAAAATCCAATCTAAAAGTCATGAACAAGTATTATAAAGTCAAAAGCTATAAAAATTACAAATTTGTCACAACAGCTTTATTTTACATGAAGACTGAGACAGGGTTGCCACTCAAATCTGAAAAAAAAATTCCCTGTGTTTTCCCTGTACATATTATACACAATATATTAAAAGGAAATACACAATCACCGTGCTCTTATATGAGCTGTATTGGGCTTACTATATTAGTGCTGAAAAAAGGAACAGCTTAACATACTTAAAACAAATAATGCAAATGAACTAGTAATAATGTAAATGAACTAATAAAGTAAATGAACTAGTTTAATATAGCTGAAAAATCATCCTTAAATATTCCACATTGCACTTTGAGTGGTTACCATTTTTTAAAAGATGAAAATAATAAACAAAATTTCCTGCATTTTCCCTGTTATTTTAGATGATTTTTAATATCAAGATTTTCCCCGTGGAGTGGCAACCCTGAGAGTGGACAAAGAACAGTCTTTAAAAAGCAATTATTAGCAATTTATTAAACAAATATGCTAGGATATTACCTCTCTCCCCCAATCTGTACTTCTTCAAAGACCTCACAAGTTCCTAAAGTATTGTCTGTGATATCATAACAAGTTGACAGTTGAGAACCACCACAAGCTTTTAAAGTTCTCTTTAAATCATCTTCAGGCACCCGTCCGGCGCAAAACATATCCCTGCAACAAAAATCCACCTTAATAACACAAATTATATTATCTTGGTAAATAAAATTGCGCATGCACACAACTATTGCATATTTTTAGCAGTTTTAACCTCGTACAAAGAAAAGCAGAAAAAAAATTTATTTGTTAGTTTGGAAATTTGAATTGGAGATAAAGAGAACTGTAACATGATAAAAAAATGCACACATCCAAAACCCAATTTTTAAATTTGCCGAAGGGGTTCCATTCCCCCTTAATTTTTGAAAAAAATTCAAGGACTTTTTAATGACTTTCAAGGACATAAAATTAAAATTTTCAAGGAACTATTTGGTATTACAGTTATATGCTAAAGTACATGCCAACCAAATTTTACATTTACGTAGAAGCAGAAATTGTACATTTTTAAAGCACAATGCTTATTTGACAACAAAAAAAAAACATTTTACTAAATTTATCAGCTAAGAATACAAATGGTTGATAGTTACATTGCTGTTTCAAATCACTTTAAAAAATTCTAATTGGCAAAAAAAAATATATCCAATTGACATACAAACGATGCTAGCCAACATTTGAAAACTAGCATCAGTGTAACTCTTCATGAAAAACTTAATGAAGTGAATTAGAATTTATGGAACTGAATTATTGAATAATGCATATTACATTAAACAAGCATAGTAAATAATTGATAAAGCTTGCGTGATTGTATGGTTATTAAAATATAAATATAAATACTTTTTTTAATACGTTAGATCAAATTTTAGGTAACAGGAAACTTATATAATTAGATAAAATATCAAAATATATCCATTTAACATATCTGCTTCAATTTTAATAACAAATTATCTAATTTGTTACTTCAGAATATCGGTAATGTATTTTGAACATAATAAAATCTATCGTAGAACAATATTTTACAGATAACTAAGACTTACTGAGCTTTTTCTTTAAAATATATCCATAAAATGTGAAGCGTGATTTTTAAATATATGTGTAAGCATAAATTTAAATCGCATAAATTTTAAATCGCATTTATACGAATCTAGTTAATACTATATGTAAATCAAAATTATAAGAAAGGTGAAGTAAGTCCAGAGAGTCGAATGTTGCGAAGTTGAATATCGTGTAAATCACGTATAACAATGTGTGATTTGTAAATTTAAATTGAATTAGAGTGTATGTTTCTTTAATCAGAACAATATGAATAGCAAATTATACAAAACACACGAACTAACAAGACGTAAATCACAATGTGTGATACATAAAACACTTTAATGTGAATTCTGTTGCATGATTAGCTAATAGTTTTCATGTGAATAGTGATCACTATAACGCATATTGCAATGTGAGTTATAATTTTTAAATCTCTCTCTTATGAATCGCAATGTGTGATTTGTAAACTACTAAAATAAGAATTGTGAAGTATGATTCTGAAATAACTTAAATATGTATTTTGTTACATGATTCAGAAATAACTTTAATTGAAATCAAGATATGTGATTGACAAATCACTTCAATGTGAATCAAAATGAGTGATTTATGAAATACTTTAATAAGAATCATGATGAGTAATTTGCAAATCACTTCAAAGTAATATTCAATATATGATTCATTAAATCACTTTCATTTAAAGCGCAATTCGTAGAGCATTTTACATGAATCCCAATCCGTAAATCAGTTTAATGTGAATCACGATGTTTATTTATAATCAATGAAACCTGTAAAACTAAATTTTATTTATTAGCAGTAAAAACTAAATTTAAATTTGATTATAAATGATAAAAATTTTATTATAATGATAAAAAAATAATTATCCTTCGTACATAAATTAAAAGAACAAATAGCATAACAATATTAATCTGTCATAATAAGGAAGTTAATACAATGAACATATTTCTAAATCGATTTAACACTATATATCATTTGAAAACTAAGACTACAAAACCTAAAATTTGCTAGAAATTTCAGCTTTTAAAACATCAGAGAGATGAACAATAATGTGGTACAAAAAATCTAGAAGAGAAAAGTTTTGCATCTTCCTTAACCTCTTTTCACTTCAAGCATTAAAAGTTGCATCAATCAGAATTTCTATTATCTTCCCATGAATATATTTATTATTTGTTTTAGTACTTTTTGTAAGAAAGATTAGTATTATTTTAAATCTCAAAAAATCAAGTAATTTTTAAGTACCCTATGACAGAATTCAGGGACTTTTCAAGGCCCTTATTTTTTTTCAACTAAATTCAAGGACTTTCAAGGTTTTTCAAGTACCGTGGGAACCCTGGATTCACTACAAAATTGCAAAAAATATACTAAAATGCAGAAGATTTTACGCAGTTTAAAATGCATAAAGTTAAGAACTGAAACATTAAAGCAACAGTAGTAGTACTTCAAAAAATGGTTCAAACTTAAATTATAGGTATATTTGTTTTAACCTTTTTAAACAAAAGTGTAAAACCAAGAACCTCAAAACTGCTCTCATAAATCAAAAATCTGACATTTGTGATATGGAGCTTACATTCTGAGAAAATATTGTACTTGTAAATAATCCATATAAAAAAAAATAAGATTTTAGAAGATAATTTTAGAAATAAATTTTTTTATTAAGATATTTTTTCCCTGCTTATACATGAAATTTAAAATGCATGAAACAATTTTTAGAAATGAAGATCTAATAGATTTCATACCTATCGGCAAAATATTGTGTAGCTACATCTCCTATGGGTAGTTTAGAAAGAACTATTTTAGCTCCACTTTCTACGATTTTTGCTAATTTATTATACAAGATATTCCATTCAGCATCAACTACATTTTGATACTCCTGAAAAGTATAAGATTAAATATCATCAATCAATTTTAAACACTTTCACAAGATAAAAATAATTGCTTTATATAACTAAGGTATTAATCATTTTTTTAAATTCATTTTTAAGAATTTAATTAAAATAGGAAACTTTATTTATCAAAAAAATACTAAAAACAAATTGATTAAAGTGGGTTATGTGAAGAATTTGCATTGATGAATAAAAACACACATTATAAAAAAAATACTATAATTTTCCTCATGACAAATATTTTTTTAATGTTTTGTTTTGTTAAGAATAAATTTTGTTTTACTTAATGCATGACCACATAATTGAATTGTCTGCTTAGAGATTTTTTTAACAAAAATAATTGCAACAATTATTCAATAATTATTACATATAATTCAATAATTATGGATTTTTTTTTTAAAGTACTTTATTTTTAAAACATAATAAAATTGAAAAACAAACTATGACAAAGCAATATGTTTGATTTAATAAAATCTCGTCTAATACTAAAAATATCCGAGACATTTTGACCAATGATTTTGACAAAATAAAAGCACAATAACTAAAATTAATAGATAATACCCTTTGTTCAGTTGTAAAAATTTCTATGAAATTTATACTGCAAGGTTTCTTAGAGTTCCTAAAAATCTAAAAATCAATTGAAGAACTGTTCGACCCTGTTATATTAATTGATTAAAATATTTTTAAAAAGAATTAAAGCAATGAAAAAATAAATAGTTTTGAATTAATTTAAAAATAGAAAATTTTCAATAAAAGTAATAAAATTTAAACTGATGCCATTATTTAGTTCAAATTAATTTTCAAGCCAGAAATTTGACATGAAGTTTTTCAGGCATTTTTTAAAATATGCAAAAACGAAGAGAATTTTTTATGAGTTTGTCTGATTCAATATCAGAACTAAAGAAATAAAATGCAATGAAGTTGGCTGTCATAAATATCTACTTATATAAAACTTTGAGCTATAATTACTTTTCTTTAAAAAAAAATAATAAATAAAAAAAAGATGCTCAAGCAAGCAATAAGATAAGATGGCAATTTTTTTAGAAACTTTCAAATATATACAAAAATCAAGGGAATTTTTTGATTCAGAAAAAAAAAGACTTCGTAAAATCATTGTTCAAATGTTTTTTAAAAAAGTCAGTAAAGTGGACACTAATGAATATTTGCTTATTAATAAAAAACTTCTGCGAAAGGCATTAGCATATTAAATCGTTAACAAGAATTATTACAAATATATTAGAAGTTATAATGAGATGTACCTGAGCGCTTTCCACTCTGATTTCAGCATTTTCTTTCTCAGACTTTAATTCTAATTCAACATTTAGACACACTATTTTAGGATTCAGATATTTTTTACGCTGCATTTCAAATCCTGCGTATGAGAAAGTCTTTTTAAAAGCTACTCCAGGTATCATCATAGATTCCTAAAAGAAACAGTTCAAATTATTAAAAATACAACTTAAACTTATACTGTAACTTTTTACATAATTCTTTAAAATCCTGTAATTTTTAATACTCTGCTATAATGACACACCCAAATTTCCAGGTTTGTAAAAAGTTTGATTCGCACCCATTCATTTACCACATTGCCTTATATATCATTTTATCTGGTAAATATCACTACTAATCTCTACATTTTTTAAAATCCTACTTTTTATTCAATTTTCCAGCATGCAAATAATAAATATGGCATTTTAGTATTTTTTAACGTTTGAATTACATCGATTAACACTTACCTTGTTTATTGTTTTTTCGACGAGTATGACTAAAAAATTTTAGTTTTTAAAATCCGATAATTTTTTATTCGATTTTCGAATGGCAACAACTCTAAAGGCTGGTCAAGTAAATTGGACTGGCTGGAAGATGTCGCTTATATAAACAGAGTGCCTGGTTTGCAGTGGATTTACTACATGGTAAAAAAAAATCTTTTTTTAATTAAAAAAAAGAATCTTGCGCTAGAAGAATTCTTGAATTATTGCAAATAATTGACAGAGTTCCAATAAAAATAATAAAAGCTTCATTTATTTCCCAGAAAAATAAGTAAAGCATTTAAAAGAAAACATTCAAAAAATCGATAAGAGCATTTACTTAAATGTATCACCGTACCAGTACCCATAAAGGACAAACTTTGACAAGATACAATCACCGTGTCAACATTTCAACTGATGAGAACGAGACAAATCCCTCACATGTCAGTTCAATAGGAGAACTGATGTAGGTGTTATGTCTTATGCTTAAGAGATGTGACATCATCAGCAATGACGTAACGGATGAAGGAAAAACCTCTTGCTTCAAAATTTAAAAAATAAACTGAAAAAGATGCCTTCATTTTTATAACAGAAATTTGCACACACAATATATGCGGATTCTCTTGTAAATCTGTGTTTGTGTAGCTTTGTTCACCATTTTGCCTACAAGACACTGTTTGGATTTGCTATTTGTACATGGATTTTAAAATCCCGATATTTTCGTACAAATATGATAGTTTTAATGCGATATTTTTCGAATACTATAACAAGCATTTAAGCAATCATAAAATAGGAAAGAAAAATTTAATGAAGAGATTTCCAAAATGCGGAAGATTTTAGTCACATCATGGAATGGCAGAAAACGAGGTGAAAATGCAGATTGCTTCCACGAAATGCAAAGGAGTTGGCAACTGTGGAAATTTTAATTAGATCATTTATGAAATAAAAAAATAAAACACTTCCAGATAAAAAATTGTCAATTCAAACAATAAAACTGATTGGAACATGAATAACAAATGGATAGGTTTTAAAGCTGCAAGTTTTTCATTTAAAGAAATATTCAAGATAAGATGAGTATCTTACTTCCATAGCTCCACCCTGAATTTTCTTAATACCAATCATATTTAATGGAAGAAGCTCATCAAGTTGCATCACTGCATCAACCACAATCTTTGCAAAAAATTCCTTCTGGGATGCAATTAATTTGGAGCTCAAAGTAGTCATAGCACACTTCTCTAACAAAGCCCGTTGTTTCCTTCATAAAAAAAATCATTTAATTATTTCAATAAGACAATGAAATATCACAGATTTTTATTAGATTAGTTAATCTTTAAAGCAATTAAAACTAGAAATTGTAGTCAATTAATATATGAAGAGAAAGAATTTATATATAGATGAACTGAGATTGTTTAGGTATTGAAACAAAACCTACTTCGGATTTCTGAAATCCTTGGCTATTAAATACCAAATAAAATTTTTTTAAATATTATGATAATTAAATTAAACACATTAAGTTTTAGCAGAAATGAAAGTAGCTATGGTAAAGTTGTAAACTAGACAAAATTCTGATAATTTGAATGCAAATTTTTGACATTTGAATCTTAAATAATTTTTTAACTTACTTTAATTTAAACAATACCATTGTAAAGGGACATAATTTTGTTCATCAATTTTTCAACAGTTATTTTAAAATCCCAATTATTTTAATAGCGTGTTATTAAACCTTGAAAGTTAAGAAATTAACTTTTAACATGCTCAATATCATTTTATTTAAGTGGTTTTGTGAGACATTTTGTAGCAGCTATTGCCAGATTTTTACATAGTTTCTTTTTTTTTTTTTAATTTTTTTTGTTGTTGTACATTACGGAATAAGAATTTTTTATGATAGAGTAGCTGAGAAGAGCTCAGACAAGTTCAATTAGATTAGAATTGAAATATTAAAATATATAATATTACTATGATAAAAAAAAAATTTTTACTTACTTTTCGTCTCCTTTCTCAACTTTAACAGATAACTCATTTACTTTAGCTTTAGCCTAAAAAAATGTTAAACAAAATATATGGAGAATTCATAATAATTTAAAAGTGAATAACTTTTTTTAAAAAAATTTTTAATTACTTTAAGATTTTCAAATAACTTTAATTAGAATAAAACACTGAAAATAAATATTTTAGTATTAGTAGTAAATTTAACGTTCACTTAAAAATCAATTCAATTAAACCAACTAATTAAAAACTTTCAACTCATAAATAATCTATAGAAATATAACTAGAGCAAAGCGCTATAGGTAAACTAAATTTTATATCAAAGGAATTTACTTCATATTGAGCTAAAGAAAATTAATGTTCTTTTAAAAATTTACAGATAATTTTTTTAACTAAAAATTTAGAAAAAACTTTTAATGAGATTAGCTAAATAAGTTCTGGTGAACTGAATTTCAGACAATCCAGCTTTTTCTTTTTCTTTTTTTAATTTTTAAATATTCTGATATATTTTTAAAAAAGGTTTTTAAAAAATTATTTTAAAGCTATTTTTTTAACACACTTTCCAAAGGTCAAGTTATTTGAGCCTTCAGGTTAACTCAATAAAAAATAGTCTAGCTTTTACTTATACGTCTTTTTCATCTTTTCAATTATCCATCTACAAATTTTAAAAATCATGCAACAAATTTGAAAAATCAAGCTTTAAATGTCAACTTCTTGATCACTCATTGTCACTTATTGTTCATGCCAACAAAAACATGAAATCAAATGAATTAAAGGAATTTATTTTACATTTTTCATGAAAACAGATTAGTTGCTAAACGTTTAAATGAACTACAAACAGAAGTTTGCAAATGTTAAAAAAAATTCTTACGAAAAAAAACAACTTGCTATAAAAATTGCAACATAAATTAGCGTTCTAAGCAAAATTTCAATCAAAGAAAAAAAATTCAATGAATTCAAAACACTCAAAAACTTGCATATAAAACTTGCAATGGTTAGAATAACTTGATAACAATCCAAAGGATTCCAAAGGAATCCAAAGATTCCAAAAACTTATAAACAAGCTGTTGTAAATTTTTCTAAACAAGATTATGTGATTAGATGAATATGTGTATCTACCATTGAGATGCTTTTGTTGAAGACAATAAAAGTAACAGTTTATGAAAAGTTTGTAAAAAATAATTTTGAAACTATACAGGCCATACATTTTTAGCATTCTAAAACAATGACAAAATACAAATTTGTCATGTCTATATTTTTGGAAATCTTAAAAAATTTAATTTTGAAAATTAAAAATTCCTAGAAAAATTATCAAGTATTTCAAAATTTAAAATCCAGCAATTGTTATTCCTTATTAAATATTTTTTTATACAATTATCACTTCAGCAACTTTATTATTTAGCCCGAGATAACTGAACTTAAATTGGTGTTCTTCAGTAGCTAATCATTTGCAGACTATAAATTAAAAACATGCTCAGTTTTATATTTCCTTTCCATTATATCATAAAACTCTAGAATACTTTATGGTATATACTCTTATATTTGCATAAAAATGTAGATTTGTGAAAAAAAATTGACTGTTGCAGTAACACCCCAATTACAAAGGATTGGCAAAAGCCAGGAATGAGATTGATTTTAACCAACAAAGGGATAAAACAAATTCTAACCAGATAATTCAGTGTTACATTTTTTTTAAACATAAAAGCAACATAATACAACTAGCAAGCCATAACTATCTTGCACTACATCAATAATAAAATTTTAAATAAATATAATTTTAAAAAGACTTAGAAGCAAAAAAATTTTACATATTGAGGCTGCTATCAAATTAACCTACCATTTGTAAAGCAGTGCGTAAGCTCCTCATAATAATTTGAGGATGAATGCCATCTTCAATTAGTGGTTTACATTGCTTTAAAACCTCTGCTGCCAGAAGAGTGACTGTCGTTGTGCCATCGCCAACCTTTTAAAAACAGATAAAAATAAAATTCCATGAATACCTTATGCAAATTCTTTTAATTCATTTAAAAAAAACACACACATTACATACAGTCAATTCAATTAATATTTAAAATTTAAAAGTATAAGAGATGATTCTCATGTTCCATTTAAAAAAAAAACTATCATAATGAAGACTGTCTCAAAAATTCAAACATAAAGCGAGTTCACTAATACTGTACAATTGAGAAATATACCACTTTATAATGGTAGGTAGTTATTCTATTTACGTTGAACTACAGCTGCACAATGGGCTATTGGCGATGACCCGGGAATGATCCGAAGACATGCCATCACAATTTTGTTCCTCTGCAGAAGAGATGGCTCCTCTGCTTTGGCAGACCAATGACCTGCACGTGAAGTTGAGCACTTTATGATAGAACAGTTCAGCGAGGACCGATACCGTGCAACCTGTCCCTATATAGGCAGCTCAAAGTGGTTACCTGCACGCTTACTGACCGCTACCAGTAATGCTTGACTTCGGTGTTCTACTGGGTCTTAACGATCAATCCACTGCGGGACCACTTTACAAAGGAAAAATTCTCGAATTATAATAGAAATGAAATGTTGTCAAGAAATTTTTGTTAAATAAAATTGATTTCATTATTCAATATTGTGTATTTAAACATGTTGTTTAAAATGACTGTCTCAATTTAATCACTTTATGAATTTCTTAGTAAATGCTTGATTGGTTGGATGAAGTGACATATTTTCTGTAAAGTATGAAGACAGGCAGATCATTTCAAATCAAGAACTCTGACACTTGCAATGCCAAAAGCTACAGAAGTCACAAAAAACAAAGTTTTGAAATTTTTAAGTTAAAATTCTAAAAAAGTGTGTCACTGAAATTTCTAGCATTTTAAATAGCTCAAAGCAAGGTGAATTTCAAAGTCAAGTTAAGAAGAAACATGATTATACCGGAAAACTCAAACGTGGATGACCACATGCAACGAGTGTTCCAACTGTTGGACCAAGTCGGAAATTAGTATCAGAGCGTTACATGTCAATTTGTCAAATAAAAAACACTAACAGTATAGTAGAGTCTAAGGACGACATTTTATAACCTTAGTTGAGATTGCAAAAATATCATTTTGAAAAACATTTGCCACAGGTCATGTAGGGTGCGTAGCCAAATCTTTCAACAAAAATAAGCACCTTTTAAGTACTTTTTAAGCACTATATACATTAACAAAATGCAAAATAATTTTCAAAGACTTTACATGATCATGATAAAAGAACTAGTTTCTGACTAAGAACTTCTTTGATTCTATTAGCGATGACAAAATGATCAAAAAACTTTTCAGTTCGATATCGGAGGGTGGAAAATGAAGCCTGAAATTGAGAATATCTTGCAAAATGCAGCAGAGTAGCATTCGAGAGAGCAAGAATCTCACTGAACCAAGCTCAGTAGATGCATATGCAGACTCACAAATATTTAATCAAATATGTTAAATGATTAGCGCTTTCATATGCTACCGACCGATGGTACGCATAAATGGATTGTAGTTGAATAAAGTGCGAAAACATCGAATAGAACAATGTGAAAAGCACGCTTTTGCATAATACATGGCGAAAATAGACATGCTTCAGGAAAAAATCTTTTCGAAAATTGAAAATTAAGGACTTTTTAAAAACACCCAATGAAAAAAGCACCTTTAAGGGCTTTTAAAAACTAAAATCAAAAATAAGCACCTTTAAGCATTTTTAAAAACGCTATGCGCCATGTCATGTCTAAAATGAAGTAAACAGACAAGAATGAAGTAGTAAAAAAAAAAATAATATGTCGTAAGGCAATAAATCGTAACCTGTATGGAGTTTTGACGTTGTAATTTAGCTCCTATAAACAATAAATTTAGTAACTGCAGTGTAATATTTAATCATTGATGCTATAATTCAGCACTTTAACTTAAATCATTCTTCATTGCAAATCTAACTAATAAAACAAAAATGAAAGGAAGGAAAATCCTTACATAATGTAGTTATTGTATCTCAAAGTGGTTATACACTTCTAAAACGGCAAGTTAAGTTGGAATATTCATTTATCTTTAACTTAAATTATAAACAATGAAAATAATTCCTTACTTATACTAAATTTTAAAGGCTGAACAATAAATATTTAAAGAAAGAATGAGAAGAACATTTTGAACTACCGTATTTTTCGGCGAAAGCGCCGCTTCGTCGCAAGCGCCGCACATCGAAAAGATTGAAATTTTTAAAAAAAAAGTTATAGTAAGCGCCGCAATGGCGCTAAACCGGGCATATCAGCATCCTTTTAGAAGAGACCTTTAAATTACCATTTAGAATATCTGTATAATAAAAAATTAAATTTTTGTATGCATTTCATAAAGTAAAGTTTTAATTTCTAAATTATAATAAAAAATTTCTTTTTCAGCAAAAAAANATATTGGAATTTCCGAAAGAGATCCAAAGTTCGGCATTTCGTCAGTCCCGTGAGTGTTGGATTTAGGGTCCTATTATACTTCCTTTTCTGTTCGCTCAAATTACAATTGCCGATGTTCTGCAGCAGATCGCGATACGGGCGAATATTTCGTCGACTTCGTTATTATTTTTTTTTTAATAGTTTTTCTCTCAGAAAATTATTTAATCTTAAATAACTTTCCTTGAAAAAATTTTTTGCTACTAAAAAATATTTCGTCGGAAGCACCTCTGCATCGGAAGCGCCGCATGTAGGAAAAAAACAACTTTTTTTTCAATAGCGCAGCGGCGCTTCTGCCGAAAAATTCGGTAATATGAGTTAAAGTATTCAAAAACATGGAAACAATAATCACAATTTTATTAACTACAATAAAATTATAAGTCTTATGACCATCAAAAGTGAATTAAAGTTCAAACATATAAGAGCTATTAAATACAAATATGATTTATTATTAATGATATTTTTATACTTTGTACACAGCTAATAACAATTTCTTCAATATTTAGGAGTGTAAAAATGTTTAGGAGTGTACATTGAGAATTCACACATATTCACATCACCATGCATACAAATTAAGCCTTTCATAGATTCCAGAAAATAGCAATGAGCAATTTAAAGAATATACTTACTTCAGCATCTTGAGATTTAGCAATGTCCACTAGAGTACGAGCTGCAGGATGAACAACATCCAATTCTTTCAAGATGGTTGCACCATCATTAGATATAACAGTTTTACCTGAAAAACAGTAACTAAAATGTTAATAAACAAACATTAACTAAGATTTTGATTTAACTTCTTTCTTTTTTTTAAAAAAAAAAGGTATTAAAACTGTTGGTGGTCTGGTTAGATATTTTACAGCAGTTTAGGGAATAGCTAGACTATGTAGTAACCAAATGTCTGAAACAGGTTTTCAAAATTGCGAATGAAACTAGAACAAAATTACACTTCAAAGGAATAAATATTAAATAAAAAAAAATTTTATTTTATAAACATTTTGAAATTATTCTCTCAGTTCTTTCAGATTGCAGTTGCTTATTAAAATCTCAAAAGCCGGCCAGGTGGCCGAGTGGTTAGCGTGTCTGACTGCAAAGCCAAAGGCTATAGATTCGAAACTTGTTCAGGGCATGGATATTTCTCTGTGTGTTGTCCTCAGTCATGTGATGCGTGAATGTGGTCATGGGTGCTACTCATCAGACCTGGGGACTGAAATCAGTTTAGAGAAAAAATCAGTAGACTAAATTTCACCAATTAATCTCTTTCTCATTTGTTTTACTTCAATTATTTTTATTTAATTAATCATTTTTATTTTTGTTTGCCGTAAAAAATAAATGAAATTAAAAAATGTTTCTCAGATAAAATAATAAATTCCTAGCTGAGTATGATATAAGAGCCAAAATCATGGAAAGTTATTTTGAAGTCAGTGAGCTAAAAATTTCGGAAAATTCGAGTTAACAATGCTAGGCCCTTGTAAATTGCGCAAAATGAGCGCCCTGTCAAAACTCAAAGTGCCTTTTTTTATGAGAAAGCACCCTGCCCTTTTTTATTACCAAGGAGAACTCTGCAATTGTAAATCCACATTAATTTTTGATTTTTCGGCAGTTATTAACCATTGCTTATTGTTTTTTCAATCATTTTGACATTTTTTTAAAATTCAAGACATTTTTAAGTTCTTATAACACTCAACTTGATAAAATTCCAGAATTACGCTCATTTTAAAACTGATTTACAAAATGTCTGAATTTAACTGAGGAATTATTTCTAGGTTAAACTATTTCTGTTAAAAATTAAGATTCTTTAATGAGTATCTTAAAAGCTATGCAATTATTTGTGAACAATGGCCTTTTTTGTGACAGGTACCCTTTTTTAGAAAAAAAATAGTGCCTTTTTCGGTTTTAACTGCCCTTTTTAAGATCAAAAATGAACACTGCGATTACTTTTGTACAGTTAGTGAAAAATCAATCAGTTTAAAATATCTAATTTTTGCAATTTTCGATTTGTTTAGTTCATGTGAAAAAGGAGACGGAAAAAAGCAGAATTCCACTTATTCTTAGAAGTCTGCCTGATGCATTAGTTCATGAAACAAAAAACTGAACAAGAAAAATTAAATTTGGTTTATCCAATTGACTCCTAAAATTCCTTTCACTTAACATTTCCTTATTTAAGCAATAATTAGTTTAAGGCAATTAATTTCGAGCAATAATTAGAAGTAACAGAATTAAAAATATAGGTCTTAGTTTTCTTAAGAAGAAAAGATATGATTAAATCAATAAATAATTATAATAATGCTTCACAACACAAACCTTTACTATCAACAATCAGCTTGTCCATTCCCCTAGGTCCAAGAGTTGTGCGAACTGCCTCAGCAACCGCTTGGCATGCATTTATGTTGCTGATAATCTGCTGCTTGCCTTGACTGTTCTCAGTTCCTTCTTTAAGGAGGATAATGGGACCAGACTAAACAAAGAAATATATTCAACACACAAAATAGATTTAAAAATAATATTTGTGTACTTATATATTTGAGTTATATAAAATCAAGTACCACAATACTCGTATTAATAAAAGTAACTATTACCACAATACCAGTAATACCTATTACAACTACTGATAGGCAGAGCCTCTTAATTGTTTCATTTTCGATGTGAATCTTTCGCCTCAGCTTTTGTAAATAATCAAAGCCATGAAAAGAATTCAACCTCTTCTGTTACAAAATGAGCTAGCTTGCTCAGGCTTGCAAAAAAAACTAGGTTTTTCTGGGTTTTATTAGGCTCAAAATACTTTATATGTTATATACATTTGACTGAAGACTTAAAATCATTGCTAGTATAGTTTCCCCCCCCCCCCCCCCCNCCCCCCCCCAATTTTGCCTGTTTTTCCTCTGTCCCAACGAAAGTACCAACCCTGAAGTAATTGATAGGTTCAGATCTACATATAAATCATAAGAGAAATTTCGCATACCTTTCTTTCTGGAGAACGTTTTTTTTTTCCTCCATTTCAGTAGATGCAGGGATATTTCCATAATGGCATAACTATAACCACTACCAAGGAGTCAAAATGTATTTTGAACTAGCAGGAACTTTATGAAATATGAAGTGGTTGGCCAGGAAATGGTTATAGTAAACTCTTTATAATTATTCTCCCTCTACGATTTTTTTAGTTCTACCCATAAATCATAAAAATCTACCAATTATTTTGGCATAAAGGGGAGATTTTGCATCATGATCTGTAGCAGAATAATCGCCAAGTCTGCCAGCAAAAAACTATGAAACCATCATAGAAAGAGACCAACTCGAAAGGTATAACTCATAGCCAGTCCCGGGCAACCATCTACACGTTGTTTTTTTTTAAATGTGCAGTTTAAAATCTATTTGACACCTTGGCGATTGTAGTTGGCGCGACAGATCACAATACGGAAATATTTCCGGCACAAGTACTAAATTAATCGCTAAACTGCACAAAAAGTAAATTATTTCTAAGCTAGGAACACTTTAAAATTGAACGATCAAAGGTATGCCGGTTTCAATGACAAGAATTTAACATACATGGTAAAGGGAAGAACTCCATCCATATCGTAATCTGCGACAGAATAATCGCCAAATCTTGAAAAATTCTAGGCAACAGCAAACGAGAAACTAAATATTATTATATCTCACACAAGGGGACGGACTCAAATGGCTTAACTTGTAAGGGATAATCTTTGCATGCCTTTTTAAAAAATTTTGCAAGTTTAAAATCTATTTGGAGCCTTAGTGGTTGCAGTTGGTCAACAGATCACAAAACAGATATATATCTAAAAAAATTCCAGGCAAAGTCATGGTGAACTTTTGATGACTGACAAAAGAACACCTTGATTTTACGGACACACTATACCTTGCCTTATTAGATGAAACTGGCATAAGTAAATTAAAATAAGCAAAAGCTAAATACAAAAAAGTATAGTTAATCAAATTTAAACGATAAGCAACCTCCCAAGAACGAAAAAAAAATTATCAGAAAACATATTACAGATATTGTTTTGGAAGCGGCATGAAAATTAATTCAATGAAGTTTAATTAATGAGATTAGATATAAGATTTAATACAAGGTATACATTTATTTCGGGTAGAGAAGCTCGTGGTCAGTATTTTAGGAATTATTCCCAATAAATCTATTTCATCATAGGGTTATAAGTTTGAGATGCGCACTGCTACCTAATAAGGAATTATTTAAAAATCTATTAGAAAATTATCTAAAGAAATTTATAAATGTTTCAAATTTTCATAAAAATTAAAATTTTATATAAGTTTTCAAGGATTTCTACACTAATTTTTTCTCTTCTAAACCAATCACGAAAATCATACGAGTTCTTGAACGATTTGAATCCTATCATTACACACAGGAAAACTTTCGGAATAAAATATAAATGCAAAATGGAAGTTTATTTTCCGATAATTTATTTTTGTAAGTTTCACCTAACTAATATTGGAACATTAGAAATTGTGAAGGAAAAAAAAACACCTGGACACCGGAACACCTGGGTACATATCATATAAGAATTAGCAAAATTTACAAATATCCTTGGAATTAAAATATATATTAGGTCAACAAGGTAAAAAATATCATTAATTATAGATGAAAAAAAGTTTATTCTTTATTAAAATGGATGACAGAAGGATTTATAAAATAGTGAGTGTTAAAGCCGGTACATCTACCAAATAAATGCAGTTAAAAAAAAAAAATACTGGTCTTAAATAATTTTCTATTTATCTGTTAATCGTTCTTTGTACTTATATTTAATATCTATCCTAAATATTACTTGATCATTTCAGATTTTCTTACCATTGTCATTTTATTGTACTTCGACTCAATGAATGGAAGAAAATTTTGTAAATATTTTGACAGAGAGCACCAAACGTTGAGTTGAGATGTCGGAAAATACGACAATCTTCTATAAATCGTTGCTATGGCAACTCAAACTTTCAAATAATTTAGTTTTCCTGAATTTTAAAACATTTTAAAAACAATGATATATATATAAATACTTTACAATTGAAAATTCTTTTCTTATAATTTTATTCGATAAGATTTTTTACATTTGAGAATTGGCAACTATAAATATTCAAAACAACGCATTACGAAACTGTCGTTATGGTAACAAAATAATCTAGGGTCTGGAGGTGTTCATGCAGATGACAGGAGTACTTAACATATAAATAAAGGCAGAAATATTTCTTGTGTCTCTGCAATCTTTAAACTTAAAGCAATAAGACTTTTTCTGCCGTGTAGTTGAAATAAAAGATCATGGATTCCCAAGTAAGTTATTTGCTAAATTTTCTAATGCGGATATAATTTTTTTTAAAACAATGTCATAAAATGAGTGATAGAAACTTTAATTACGAACATATTAATATACATAGAAACTTTTCAGTGGAAAAGTTTGAAATTATCCCTGAATTAGTATGTACAACAGAAGACACACCAAATTAGAGAAAAATATTTAGAAATAAATTTCAGAATAAAATGTTTTTATCTTTTAAATATCCCTAGTTTGATTTGCTAGTTAAGTTACTTGCTGCAAGACTTCATCAAGTTTTTACCCAGTTTACCCAAAAATTAAAGAGATTGTTTATTGTTAAAGCAGTGTATTTTAAAACCTATTTTTAACAAATTTTATAACATACCGAACCTTTAACCTATTTTTAACTTACTGAACAAAAAATATCGTTAGTGTAAATTCTTAGCATTCAATTTAATGATGAGTGTTTATTCTATAAAATATAACAAACATGAAAATATGGCATTTGTAAGAATCTACATTTGTTTAAACTGAATGTAATGAAAATTTGTGAAGTTAAGGAAATATGCTGTTCTAAAAAAATATTAAAGTTGAAAAAACTTAGTCGGTGTAAAATTTAAAAATTCAATGACAAGTGCGGTGGAATTTAATTGTTATATTCTAAAAAAAATGGTTTTGAAAAGCCTCTTAAAAAAGTCTGACATCATAATTGCAAGAGAGCACAAAAGCTAACGCTGCTGCTATAAAGCCTGCTGCCTTTGATGGGAGGGAAACATTTAATTGCATGTCTGCCTCCCGCTTTGCCTTTTTAAGTCTTACCCTTTCATCATTTTTCCCTTGATAATTCATAATTGTGCGTGTTTTCTGAAATTATTTTTCAAAATTTAGTTGAAATTCTGCTTTTTTCAGATGAAAATTTTCAGTAATATTTTTCTAGTTTAATAAAACTGCAATAAATGTATAATACAATTTATGTGAGATTAGCATTTATCTATTTAAATGAAAAAAATTTATTAGATGAATGAATAAAATGAATTAGAGTGAATGAAAATGACTGAGAACATGAAAAGAAATATTGAAAGAAAGTGATTGCTACTTCTAAAATTTTCAAGCACTAAAAGAGTGTAAGATAATCAGTGTTTTAGATAAAATGTTTAGTGTAAAATACTCAGTGTTTTCAGAGTTTAGGTAAAATGACAGTTGATGAATTCTTAACTCTGTATGTGTACTAATAAATATGTATAATGTTAATGTTATTTTATTATCTAAATTATTACTCATTAAAATGCATTTCAAATATTGGAAATGGACACATACATCATACACAATAGTGAGTAATATTATACTCACTATTGTATATACCTAATGTAAATCTTTATTATCAACGAATATTCAGCTGAAGGCTAAGATGTATTTCATTTAGTGAAAATGAAATTCTTTGGGACCCAGTTTTATTTTTTAAATTATTAATGGTAGTTTTATTAAATTTACCAAATTTTTATTAAGTACAAGGTATGAACCTTCTGTGCTAATTAAAATGCTATTGTAAATAAAAAATTTATTTCCTGTGACCAGTATTAATTATTTGAAATAGTTAGTGAAAATTTTATTTAAATGCGGAAAATTTGTTTTTATTACTCTAATTTAAGAATTTATTTCTATAAAATTTTATGTTTGTATCAATTGGTTTTTTTTTTTGCTTCTGAATTACACATAAAGATATTATATTATCATAATAATGAGTCATACAATTTTTTAAATGTAGTTATGTGGAATGTAGGGGTAGGCTAGTCATAAATTAATAATTAATAGAAAATTAGTCATGTCTTGGATCATCCCTTGGAAGAGATAAGATAAATAAGCATATTATTTACTGGTATTCATACTTTAGTATAATCTAAGTCTTTGTTATTTTCTTATCTACTGTTTCTTATCTAAATGCAATTCAAATACCAGAAATGATATCTTTTAGGATAAAGTTTTATTTTTAATATTTGCAACATTTTAGCAATGGTTATGGTTTAGCAACATTTTAGCACAGTTATTTGTATTAATCTCCTATTTCAAATTAATTTTAAAGTTAGTGTATTAAGCACTTTTTGTTTCACATAATTTGTTGATCTTGCATTATTTAAACACAAATCTTAAACAAAAAAGAACTCATCTCAACCCAATTTTGTTTTAATCTCTCCCTACTTGCGAATTTTTTTTTTTTTTTTTCTGTAACGTGAGTTTTATAGTTTTCTTAAACATGATATAGTAATTTTCTCTATGAATTTTATATTCAAATCGTGTTTCCATACTATATATAGATAGATAGATATAATTATATATACTATGTATGTATGTATAATGCATTAAAGTTTCATAAATTGCTTTGTTGGAAATAAATTAAAATTCGCTTAATGTATGTTTTGTTTTATTTAAAACTCAAAGAATGATTTAAATATAACCATATGATAAATATTTAAAGTCCGAATTGCGTGTAAAATAATAATACTAATCAACAAATTTTATAAAAATTATATTTTTAAAACTGAATGTATATAAAATATTTAGTATAAATCTAATATAAGAACATATAATTTTATAATATAAAAACATACTTTCTGTTTTTAAATTATGTTAATTCAAAAATCAAATTTTAGATAAATTTTTCTTCAGTCTTCCCAATTTTTGATAAAGGTGCCCATAGACCAACTCTTACTTGTAATAAGATTTATTATTATTATTATAAAGTAAGAATATGCCTGTGGCGACCATGCTAACTTTTACCATGTTAGCATGTTACCACCAAAACTTTTAAATTTCAGAAGAAGTTGCTGTGAAAAATTTTTTAATTATTTTGTTATTTTTATAATAATTATAATCAGATGAATAACAGGGACACCTATTCCTCTTTTACCAACCAGCTATATGAAACTTGTTCATACAAACTATCCAAAATAAATATAGGTAAATTGAGAATTCGACTGCAGAAAAATAAATAATATAAAAATTTTTTAAAAAATAATGAAACAAGGGCGGAAATATTGTGTCATGCTGCAACCCTATTCCTGTTTTGTATGTAAGTTTCCCTTCTATTGAATTAATTTTCGATAACTTTATTCCGAGGCAAAGGATTGATTTTCTAATTAATAATATATAAAAATAAATATATAAATTAATATATAAAAATTAAATTTATATATAAATTAATATATAAAAATTAAATTTATATATAAATATTAAATTAATATTCTAAACTTTTTCTTTTTTGGTGCAAGGCTTTTATGGTTAATATAAAATGAAGCTTANTTTTTTTTTTTTTTTTTGTTTCTAAATTACACATAAATATATATCGTATATAATGAGTCATTCAATTTTTAGATGTAGTTATGTAAGATGCAGGTTAGTCATAAATTAATAATTAATAGAAAATGAGTAATGTCTTGGGTCATCCCTTGGAAGAGATAAGATAAATAAGCATATTATTTACTGATATTCATACTGTGGTATAATCTAAGTCTTTGTTATTTTCTTATCTACTGTTTCTTATCTAAATGCAATTCAAATACCAGAAATGATATCTCTTAGGAGGGATAAAGTTTTATTTTTAATATTTGCAACATTTCAGCAATGGTTTTTATAAAGCTTACAGTTATATATATTAATCTCCTATTGCATATCAATTATAAAGTTTGTGTATTAAGAACTTTCTGTTTTACATTCCTTGTTGATCTTGTATTATTTAAACGTAAATATTAAACAAAAAAAACTCATCTCAGACGAATTTTGTTTCAATCTCTCCCTACTTGTGTTTTTTTTTTCCCCCCTTTAACACGAATTGTATAGTTTTTTTAAACATGATATGCTAATTTTCTCTATGAATTTTATATTCAATTCATGTTTCCATAATATATATATACACAAACATACACAATCCCTGGCTAAATTATTGGACGAACTGTAACATTCTTTGTAAGATCTTAATTATCAGGAGATAGTATACAGCTTTATCGTTTTTATCCAATGAAACCGGTTTGCACTTGCTTTCGTTTGTGTATCAATTGTTTAAATTAGACGATATATGATAAATTAGACGATTGAATAAATTAGACGCTATATTATATAAATCTCAGGGGTCTGTCTAGGTTTTCTTAAAAGGTACTTATTTTTTGAAAATTTAGAAATAATTTGTGAAAATTAAAAAATCGACGCAGCATACACCCATTATCATTTTAATTAGTATTTTACCAAGTACTCAGAACACTTAGTATATCGAAATAACAGTATACTGAGATAAAAGGACAGATTTTTAATATTAACATACTCAGACAATTTTTAACGTTGTACTCGTTGTACCGTTTTTCCTACAGTTGAATTTGGGAAAGTATCGTTTTATCGAACGGTGAATTTGTGACGGTACCGCTAAACGGTAGTAAATTTGCCATGGATACCCCTGAATATAGAATATTTATTATATCGGGTATTATATTAGTATATTATAATAATAATTAGGCCAAATTATTAGACGCACTGTAGTTTTTTTATAAATACATGTTTTGCACGAGTTTTGTTGGAAATAAATTTAAATTCGTTTAATGTATGTTTTATTTTGTATAAAACTTAAAGAATGATTTAAGTATAACCATATGATAAATATTTGAAGTCCTAATTGCGTGTAAAATGATAATACTAATCAACAATTTTTATAAAAATTATATCTTGAACTATTTTTAAAACTCAATATAATATAAAAACTTATTTTCTATTTTTAAATTATATAAATTCAAAACTTAAATTTCTGATTAATTATTCTACGGTCTTCCCGATTTTTGATAAAGTATAAATAAGATGCCCATAGAGCAACCCTTACTTATACTACGATTTATTATTATTTTTATTATTATAAAGTTAGAGTATGCCTGTGGCGACCATACTAACTTGTACCATATTTGTAAATTGCCCCCAAAACTTTTAAATTTCATGAAAAATTGCGGTGAAAATTTTTTAATTTTATTATTTTTATAATATA